CCCCCAAAAAAATGCAAATTCCTGAAACGAACATTTAAATCGTAGTTAATTTAGATTTTTGAACATCTATCTAATCTAGTGCTGTGGTGTCTCTGTCCACAAGATGACGCTGTTTGTCCATTTAAGTTGAGGGAAAATCCTAAAGGCTAAAGTTGGCCTAAATTTCTTTTCTTACAGCGCGGCATTACATTTCCATCATATGACACGAAGCACATGTTAACTGCATCGGGAAATTGAAAACATAATATAAAATAAAAGTAGCCCAATGTGCAGTGGAAAAAAGGTCAATTATAATTTTAATTAAAAATAAAATAATAACTTAAGCATAGTTTTGCTGTAGTTGCTGCGTAACAAGTGAAGGCAATAAAACCACACTCGCATACATTCATCAACGAAAAATAGGCATTTTTTTAACTCAAAGAGTATATTTCTCATGGTTGGGACAGATTGTCACGTGTGTTTTTTTAAAATCCATTTTATACAATTAATGATAATGTAATATATGATGACCATAACAATGGTTTCATGAACTGTTCTGTTTCATGATTGTGTAACTGTTTGAATTTCACTGAGTAAAACCTATAATTTTAAAGACTATTATAGGAGTTTAAATAGCCTTTAATAGGTAGGTTCCCCTTGTGACAACCTTGTGTTTAATGAACTGGATCTTGTTTCCTGGGCAATAACAGTGGAAACGTTCAATAGCTGTTTTGAAGCCAAGACTTTGAGGTATGTCTATACAGAAATAAACCTACCCTGAGAAATATTCACTGGAGTAAAAGTAAGCTTTCCCCCATCGCTTTACAAAAAAACTGACAGTGAGCAATAATTTATGTGGGCAGAAAATGTTTTTGCATCATATTTTGGCGAATTATTTCACTCTGTGGTAAATTTTATAGTGGCTTATAACATTACACAATCCTCAATAAATTTCGTCTAACAGTTGGGGGGACAATAAACATAAAATTTCTCAAGAGCGATTTTTGAAGGGGACACAAATAATACAGCTTGGTGTTAAAGAATTAAATAATAGCCCCTACAAATACAACTCATTATATACACTATAACTGCTTTCAGTTTAAGTGCCGGCGATGCAGTGTTGCCAGATATTGATCCTAAAACAAATTATTTCCAATCTTTTGAAAATAAGATAAGATAAAGATATCGCTGATTCTAAACTGCAACTTGCTACTTTATTAATTTTCTAAAGTGTTAAATTTAGTGGATAAGACAAGTCCAAAAACGCTTAGGCTATAATAGCTAGATCTGGCAACCTGCGCCCGCGCCCTCACTCACTCACAACTCTCTCAAGAGGCTCAACTCTTCACTCCGCCAGCGTCTCGCAGCGATTATTTTTATACCAGGGATGCTAAACATTCTTGCAAACTGTCTAAACTGAATTATACATGTCATGCAGGCATTCATATGAGGAGTTTAACAGCAAATTAGTCATTAAAAGAACAAATGTTATTTTTGAACATGAAAAAATGTACGGAGGTCCGGACCTGCAGGCCTCAAAGCTGGTTACGGGCCTGGTAGCGCCGAGACAGCGCTCGTGTCCGTTGTAGACATTACTCTCCGTCACAGTGTTGCCAAGTCCGCGGTTTTCCCGTGGAATTGGGCTACTTTATCCCTGTTGCCATGTTGTTTTTCATGTCGGCGGGTTGAAGCGACCCCAATAACGTGTATTTTAGCCCCCGGAATGCGATTTTTACCGGGGGACCCCTCAAAACGCGTTAGTTTGGGCTAGTTTTGGGTAGCAAGTGGGAGGGTTTTGTTGTCAAAAACCTGGCAACCCTTTCAGTCAAGCAGGAAATGTTATTATTGCTAACATAGGGACTCATCGAAAAATACATTGGCATCATCTGTATTAAAGAGAAATTAATCACTTCATCTGATGTTTAAGTGAATAAAACAGTTTTGACAGCCTTGGAGTTCCACAACTATTGACTTCTCTCTCCCCTGACTTGTGTGTGTGTTAATAATTATATATATATATATATATATATATAGGCACTTGAGGTTCTGCTATATTGTGCATATGAAGTAATTTTTTCTAAGCATGTAATGTTTTATTTTATTATCAAGTTTTTTAATCTCTGGAAAAATTAGTTGAATATAAAGTTATAAGATAAATTTCAACTCTTCATTGTGCCTAATAACTTCCTTTACAGCATATTTATACAGCTTATTGTATTTCTTAAGTAATCGAGCAAGGTTGAAGACAGTCACCCGAGACCACCTTTTTGCACTTGCATATGTGTTATCTTAAAGCGACACTTCACCCTAACATGAAAGATAAAAAAAAAATGTATAGACTTTTTTTTAGTCTATACAATGTAACTCAAAGGGGCTTAATGTTATTTTAGACTCTGTGAACGACATAGTAAACAATGACTTTTTATTTCTGGGTGAACTATCCCTTTAACAAAAGCTATGCTATCTATGAATATGGATCTCATATTGCCACATGAATTGTGTTAGCTGACATTCCTGCCGCTTATTTAATGCCAGACATCCAGGTTGTTACTTTTAACCAATGAGATGCGGTTTCAAATTCCATCAGCAATAACTCTCTTAAGATTCCCCAGACGACTCAATTCGATTTGTACATTTTTCGAATGACATAAGTGCATATCTGAATGATGTTTTTCAGATCAAGTGTTGCCGATCAACAGCACAGATAAGTGTATCATCTCTCAGCCAGCGTGTATAATAGCCCGTCTTCCATTAGTTAGCGAGGCCAGCGATACTTCATTTCATTATCTGTTTAGGCTAGCGGAGGAGCGCGCTGCTGATAAACCGGGGGATTGTGAGGGTGATTACTTTATCATTGTGCTGCCTCTATTCATGTGTGAGTCAGCTGGCTGCTCGAGTTTCTGCGCTGCCTTGTCTCTCGGACCCTCATGAGTTTCCTTCTCTGTGTTTTAAACAAGGCGAGGACAGAAGAGTGGCCATTCTCTTCACAGGCGCGCATGAATAGCTGGCAGTGTTCAGTGCTCTTAAATGGCTCTCCTCAGTGTCAGGTTTAGGGATCTCTCTTCAGTGTGACACTGAGAAGGAGTATTTTCCTTTTGCAGACCTAGAGATTCCAGCTGATAATATGGCATTGTCAGGGCTCATCCCCGCTCTTTGAATAACTCCAGTGTCCTGAAGGAGTCAGATGCAGTGCAGAGCGGCCCATCACTTCTTAAGGCACGGTCAGAAGGAACAGGAAGGCCACATGAGTCTCTGAACGTTACTGTTACTTCCACTGGAAAGAAAATCACAGATGAAATCTCTCTACAGTCTCAGTTGCTTCTCCTAGAAGGCAGAGGAAGTCTCCTGAGAATCAAAACTCAACAATCTCATGTGTGCCTTCTGCAGAGTTTTAGAGGAGATTTATTAATATGTCCAAAAGTCTAGAATCCAAAATTTCATTTGAAATTATTTCCCTTTTTTTTTTTTTTTCCAACATCAACATGTCTGGCCATAAAGTTCAGGCCGTAAAATGTCATGTGGTGCAACTTTCCCCCAAAATTAAATAATATTTATGAATTAATAATTTATGATATTGGTTTTATGATCAGTTGGAATGCATTATGTAAAATTAAGACCACCAATATTTATATATATTTATATACCATTCAAAAGTTTGGGGTTAGTAAAAATTATATATTTTTTTTAAAGAAATTAATAGTTTTATTCAGCAAGGATGCTTTAAATTGATCAAAAATGTTAAT